ACACCTCAACAATGGTGTGCAATACAATGGAGTGAAGAGGCCCGATTCGAAGTTTGTGTTGGTGACAGTCGCAGTAGATTTATTCACAAAAAAATGAAGCATTCCATGCTGACTGTCTGAAGAGAAAGTGAAATTTCCAGCATACATTATGGTCTGGGGCTGTATGTCATCAAAAAAGTCGGAAAACATTTATTGATGGAAATGTAGATACAAACAAATATTTGGTAATTTTAGAAGAATCTCTTTTACCAGTGATGGAAGAATGTTGACATCCGGCCAAGATTTTGTGTTTCAGCAAATGCTGCAGCGTGCCATACCTCAAAAAAGGCTATAAAATGGATGGAAGAAAAATGTACCACTTTTGAATTGGGTTTCTAGCAGTCCAGATCTGTCACCTATTGAAACTTTGTGGCACGAGATGAAAAAGGTTCTACAACAACATCCTGCGCGTACAATCACCGAACTGAGACAAAAGCTTCAAGAAATATGGGATTGTTTTACGCCAAATTTTTGCCAAAACTTGGTTAACACTATGCCCCAAAGAATTTCAGCCGTAATAAAAAATAAAGGTGATTTACCCAATGGTAATCTTTTCAATTGTTGCTTTGTTAACTTCGCGCATTTTTCGCACATTGTTTATTTGTTCAGATGTTCCATTAGTTATAGGTCTAAGTGATTTCAAATAAGTATTTTTATGACTAGAGTGTATCTAAAATGTTTTTGAGGAAACAATTTGCTTTAGAAGTAAGTAGTTTCGTCATGTTTAGTTTATAAAGACATATTTTGGTACAATCTTGAAGTGGGCCAACTGAAGTGGGAAGGGGCTCGTACATATCTCACAAAGTCAGCAAGGCTTGCAAGCATGATGTCAGGTCCGAACGTGCTATTTTTGTCAAATATAATGTTTGTTCCAACAGGCAGTTCCGAACTGGTGGTCAGTTGCTTTGCAACATGAAAAATTTTGCCCAAATTCAAACCTCGTACTTGCATGGAGGAGGTAGTCAAAAAATACGACGTCAGGCCTAAAGACATTTAATCCAGGAGGTAAGGCAAAGGAGGACACTTTCACCTAGAGACTTGAATGAAAACTTACGGCGGCACAATGGAATAATAGCATCCAGTCATACTGTAAGAATAGAGCGTCGCGCCAGGTGTACCCGACTCTTGAACAATCATAGAGTCGCCAGGTACCGATGGGCACATGAGATGGTAAATTGGTATCAGCAATGACAAAATTGCATGTTTTCCGATGCAACACACTGCAACCTATACCACTCTCATGGTAGGGTTATGTTTGGAGGCATGCTGGGGAACGATATGATGAAGAAAATATGGCTCCAGAAGAGTCGTTTGGTGGAGGTGGCCTTACCGTTTTGGCTGCGGCTATGCACATGGTAAAATCTAACATTTCATTTCATTTTTGGGAGGAATTTGTCTTCATCGATGATAACGCCAGGCCGTACAGAGCAACAACATCTGAAAAAATGTAACCCCCAACGGACAAACGAGGCACTTTTGCATTTACGTAAATCATGTCCAATCGACTTATTTTGAGTGTAAAAATACCTGGTACTACGTCCAAATTACTAGGGTTCAAGCTCTTCAGTGACTGTTGGTAAATTAATAGCATTTCAGAGTGAGAGGGTTCTTAAAGCAAACAGAAAACATGGAACTACAATGACTAAATGAATGTTGTATGGCACAATAATTTATATAACACTGATACAATGAATATAATTAAATAGAAATTTAACCAATGCTCTGTGTTATGTACATCATAATTAATTTCATATTTAAGCGAAAAATATTCAGAGTTCTGGAATATTTATTAATAGATAAATTTGGAGAGGTTACATAATTATTGATATATGTAGAATTTTATCGAAGTAACTAAATAAAGAAGATTAGGTCCCTGAACTAAACAACAAAATCTATAACTGAAAATGAGTCTGTAAAACGTCAAAACATGAAGTTTGAGCGACTTTTATCTACTATTCGTCATTTGTTTGTCTGGGCGGTCCGTAGGACCTTTGCCCATTAGTCACTGTCTGATGTACGTTAGTCAAATCTGTCAGTCCTGGTTGCCCAGAAACCAGACAAAGTCAAGGAAAAAGAGAAAGGGAAAGAGAAGAAAAAAGGAGAAGAGCGAAGAAAAACAGATATGCTTAGTTTAAGAGGAAACACCTAGGCTTTTTGACTTGGTACACGGATTAATTTTGAGGTGAACTAAACAATTTTGTTTGATTCGGTTTTGTTAGCGTGTAATTATGAGTTTAATAAAGATTCACGCTAACTTTTGATTACAGTGCGAGCCGTGGCCTTGAATGTTTACGAACTTGCTCCACTATGTAGTCCACTGAGTCACGTAACAGAGGGTTGCTGTGTACGTCGCTGCGCCTGAAGCTTGACATAATCCCTCAAGTAAGGAATGTCAAGGTCTCTGTGTAGTGTCTCATTTGAGACATACCATGAAGCGTTGCAAATTGTCCGCAAAGTTCTGCTTGGCAATAAAACACCAAGCCGCACATGCATAAGTAATGGCTGGTCTAATAATCATTTTATATAGTCGAACTTTGTTTATCAAACTCAATTTGGAGGATCTACATAACAAAGTATATAGTTGCCGAGACATAATTTGGAATTTTGTTTTTATGGATGCTGTATGTTTCTGCCAGGTCATGCCTTTATCAAGGGTGACACCGAGATACTTGGCAAGAATTTGTCCATGGTACACGATTTCCGTCTACAGAAACTCTGCTGGGGGGGCCGCGACGTTTTTTTTGTACAATAAATAGCCTGCGTTTTCGAATGATTAATTTTTATCAGCCACCGTTCCGCCCACTCTAGAACTTCATCCACCGCACCGCATTCTGCAACCCATCGTGAACCACATCACCAGTACACGAATGTACGGCAAGCGCAGTGTCGTCAGCATAGAGGTAGACGTCACAGTTGCTGGGGGAAGGGAGATCATGGATGAAAAGCGAATAAAGAATTGGTCCTAGGACCGAACCCTGAGGAACACCGGCCCGTACTGGCCGTGTTGTGACAAAACATTGCTAATTTTGATCCGAAACTTCCTTCCTTCAAGAAGGATTTCCAGTAATTTTGAAGCCAAAAAGGAAAACCCTTTTGGATTAGTTTATAGAGGAGGCCCGCGTGCCACACATTGTCAAAGGCTTTTGAGACATCCAAAAGCAAGATGCCAGTACTCATGCTGAGGGTGAACCCTCTGGTTAAATGTTCCACCAGCCTGACTGCCTGTAGCTTCGTGCTATGCTCGGACCGAAAACCGAATTGGACGTCAGGAGTCACATGGTGATTTGACGAAAAATTCTCAAGGTGACGATAAATCACCTTTTCGGCGAGCTTAGAAGCAGCTGACAGCAGACTTATGGGATGGTAATCCTGAGGAAATATTGAACCCACCTTCTTTGGAATCATGATGACCTCAGCAGTCTTCCACCCAGCAGGAAGTACTGGACTTTGAGCGTCGCATTGATTATTGTCACCAAGTATGTCATGGCTTTCGGCGAGAGCAGCTTCAACGCCTTGTTGGTGATTTGATCCTCCCCAGGTGCTTTACGCACCTTGAGGTCTTTAATGACTTAGGAGCTCCGCTGGTGTGCAATGTGGAAACTCGGAGGGTTCCGCTAATGTGCTATGTGGAGCCTCAGACGAATCTTCTGAAGAAGAGACATCTGAAGAGGATTCAGTGCCTCCGCTAACGCCGTTGGCCCTAAAATATCTCCTGACGATCGTACGATGTGCTGTTCCTCGTCGAGGTCATTATCGAGATCATAATTAGGAGAGAACTGTTTTTCCCTGGCACCAGCGAAAACCTCGACCTTATCCTCCGTTCTGAAGACTATGCTTTTAGGACCGTGGATGTGTGGGAGTTGTTCTCGCTTTCTGAGTGACTTGCGACCCTCCAGAGAGGAATACTTGAATCAAGCATTCCCCCCAGAAAGTCGCTCCATTGCTCGTTGCGGAGTTCGTGCAGTGCGTTTCTCACTTTATGGACAAGATTGTAGCCCTACGAATGTCATCAGGATGACAAGACCTTTGGATGCTTAATAGCGGCTCTTTTATCAGAGATTTTCTGACGAATTTCCGCAGGCAAAAAAGGTCTGCCGTATCGTTGTACAGGAAATACAGCTGCACGCTGTGGAGCTGCTTGAATGAACTGTCCACTCCGCTTGAGCGGCACCTATTCCAGACTCATCATCTATAATTGGGATATTGGGAAACTCTCTAAGGCGCAACTTGTATAGGTTCCAATCAATGCGTTTCCTTTGAGGAGCTGCCTTCTCAGAAGTTTGCTCATTGCCCACATCCAAGACAACTGGTAGATGGCACTAGATATCATACAAGATTCATCTGGTGCCTGAAGATGGTTGTGCGGATGGTTGTACAATCGAACCCCACTAGTGGAATTCAACCTATAATTCCATGCTCGATGTTTGCAGTTGAAGTCCCCTGCCACAATAAGCGGACCCGAGTAGTCCAAAACGACCTCTAGATCCGCCTCTTGTAGCCTGGCACCACACCTGAGATACACCGATGTGATCTTCAACGAGACACCTCCCGCCATATTGACCACCACAGAAGCTGCTTCGATGCTAAGCATCTCCGCATTAGTGCTTCTATAATAGAGAGCTAAACAATCTCCCGGATTAAGCAACTTTTCCTGCGGAAAGGCCATATCTATACCTTCATCCAAAAGAGCTTGATGAAATTCCCGTTTTTTGGGAATATGTCTCATGCCCAAACAATTCCAAAAAGAATTTTGATGAATGCAGGCTGTCTATTGTACCTAGACATTTACAGGAATATCGCCTGCAACGCTTGGGTAGCGGTAATCAGTGGGCTTATTATTGTTGTAAGGACCGTAGCGCGGTTGCCAGGTCCACATTTTGCGTGCTCAAGGGAGCTTGGGCACAGGGCAGGCAAGGTTGCCTCCCGTGCTGCGCCCGCGTATGATATATTGCGCCTTTGCGCTATAACTTGCAAGTTCCTCCTTGGAGTGAACTTGCAAGTCCGGCTATTTGCGGAATGTGTCTCTCCACAGTTCGCGCACTTGCCTTCTTCCTCTTCTGTGAGGGGCACAAATGCGTCATGTGGTCCTTTGCACATTTTAAGCATTGGGTGGTGCAGTGCAATATGACTGCGCATGCCCGTACTTTTGGCAGCGGTGACACGCCCAATGAGTCTGGAGTTCTTCTGAGCCTCAACTCGAATGGCCAGTCCCAGCAGTTCGTGTTCGTTGAACACTTGCTGAGACTTTCAGTCTTGGGCAGTATCACGACCACCAAAGGCATGGGCGTGCCGCCGCAGCGCTTCAATCCAATGATGTGAAGAGGGCTATATCCCCTCTGTTCCAGTTCTCCCTTAATCTTAGTATCCGAAAAGTTGACGGGAACTCCTCGAACCACCGCATGGATGTTCCGTTCCGAAGGGAGAGCAAAAGTGTGATGGGGCACTTCTTCCTCTCAGAATAGGCGAACGATCTTACGGTAGTCGTCCTCGGATTTAGGAATATGCTTATTCCCGCATCGACGGCAACCGCGCGATCTATTTCAATACCTAGGGAAATAAACTTGAATTTAAAGTACGCCATTAGTCCCGTCGCGTAAGACGATCGGGGTTATGCGCCCTTGTCATGAGGGTTGTGTTGATGCCACGACGGTTGGACGAGATGACGGAGGAGAAGTAACATCGGCTGACGGAGGAGTCACCTGACAGGTAGATAACGTGGTCGCTGGCTTGGTAGTAGAAGAATTAATAGTGTTTCGATTTGATGAATTGGTGGAGGTGTGAAATGGAATTGATTCTGTATTCCGGAGAGGAGGAAAGTCTTGGGTTAATCGATCAGCCTTGTCGCTTTCCTTCTTCTTGATTTTGCTTTTACAAATCTTTCGGTCTGTACGTCTTCGTCTGTGGATGTCGATGATCATCAGTAACGTTACTCGTGGTCTTTTTAGGGTGTTTGTCCGTTCTTTAGGGATTCTTTTGAATTTAGTAATATTGTTACCTGGGCGGTCAGGCTGTCAATTTTGGCTGTCTTGTCCTTGATGGTCTCCATTAGGTCTCGAATCTGCCTCGCCTGCGTCAGTGAGCTCATGTTTTCTGCTTCTGCTTGGTTTCCGCCACCGCTCAGTTCTTTCCTCATTGTATGTGGAACTGCGTCGTTTTTTGATCCTCCTGGGTCAACTTCCATGTTTTAACAACTTTTTCTCGCTAACAAATATTAGAAAACTTATAGTTCGCAAATGTGACAATGTTGTCAAAACCCTCTTACAGGGCGTCGCGACTTTTATCTTTTCGTTTTTGTGTCCATTAAAATGATTAAGGATTAGCAAACAGATAGACAGACCTACAGATCGACGGAAATGAATGGCATTTTCGACATTCTTCTCGACAAACGATGCTGGTTAGCCGAAGATTTCAGACTAAGTGAAAGCAGCTGGTCAACGATTTGGCAGTTCTTGCATTACATTCCTATTACTTACTACGCCAAAACTACCAGGGACGTACTGTCTCTCTCTCTAAAAATTCCGAAATTGAGATATTATGTTTTTTTTTTTGATGTTATACTCGTACTACTCGTACTTATGACACCTACATACGAAAAACTATGTCATTCATTTCCGTGGGTCTGTCTGTCTGACCACTAATTTTATAATGCCTATAACTTGAGAGGTACCGCTCGAATTTTGATGAAATACCTACTCAAGTTACTTCTGTGCCAAGGATGAAAAAGAATTATAGTTTTTGAAAATAGTAAGTAAGTAAACAAAACACCCAAACTTCGTTTTTTGACGTCTTAGAGGCTCCTGATCATTTTTAGAAAATATTTTGTAGGGGTGAAGTTGAGGGCTAGGGGTTGTAGACGTAACAACTCTAGTATAAGTCAGAGACGTTCTTCTGATCGCGGTAACAGCGGGAAAGTGAATTGATAAAAAGTCCGATGTATAATGTGCTCATGATTCGAAATAACATGGTGATCCTTGGCGTTGCGTGCACGGCGCGATGCTGCATAGTCGTAGAGGCCACTGCTACCGAGCAACGTAACAAACTGGTCTGCGGTGGTTAAAGTTCTGAGTTCTGAGATGATTTTGTAAATGATACTTAACTGTACCACCTATTTTGTCTAACCTTAAATTTGTATTACTCCGTCTAGGATGGTTCTCTCAATATTTCGTCAAGTAGATTGACTCAGTATTTTTGACGCATCGATATACAATACACATGGACTGACAAACCGACATAAATGATTAATACTGACTTATGTGATGCAGATATCTTTAACAACAGAAAACTTGTGAACCGAAGCTCGAATATTATCACAATGTTTAAGACATTTAGGAGGAAAATGGAAATGTGGGTTGCAAGACAACACTCTCAGAAATGGAGAAGTATCTCCAGACATCTCCGCCAGGCACTGGAACTCATTGAAGGGCCCAGTGCTAAGGATGGACGTTTCTGCCTATCTCTGGATAGAGCCAACCTAAGGTTGCTGGTGGGACTGTTGTCTGGCCATAACACGTTAAGGCGTCACCTGCACGTGATGGAGGTGGCTGAGGATGCCTTGTGTGAATGCTGCGGGGTAGAGGAAGAGACCTCGGCCCACGTTTTGTGTTGATGTGAAGCTCTGAGCTACTATAGCCAGACTATACTGGGGTCCATTACTTTGGACCCTCAGGACGTCAAGGAGCTTGGACTCAAGGCGATTCTCAACTTCGCTAAAAGGGCGAGGCTTGTGATCTAAGGAATGTAGAGGTGCATAAGGGCCCGCTTAAGCGACCTATGCACTGGCTCCTTATGGTGGCCGGAATACCTCTAATTTCAAGATTCATTCATTCAAGACTTTTATCGTTTAGGGAGGCCTAGATTTTGAAAATTGATTCAGAGGCGGCTAAAATAAAATCACTGGAACATAGCGTTGCAACGCTTCAGAGATTCCAGCTCATTTTCAGACATCCTTTGGGGGGATAAAAATTGTAGATTGGAATCTGAATGAGAAAAATGGTTGTAAATTGTTGCATATTTGGTATAGTAAATACCTTCTATTATTAAGAAGCTGCTGATCCCACTAATACTGTGCATTTGTTAGACATAATAAGTCACATATTTTCTTTACATTTGCAATGGAAACAGAAATTTGATAAATTTGCTTTATATAGTTTGATATGCGAAGGTCGCAGATTCATCGTACCTAAGTGAACCTACCTAATTACGATTCGGTTTGACCTTTTGAAACGATTGAATCATTCCTTTCTTTGAAACCGCCAATGAAGCGTAATAAGTGTAGAAATAATCTACTTGACACCATTTTAAAAAGTGCTAGTGCTTGCAGGTAATTGTTAGTCGACTTCATGACATAACACTTCTTATGTTGTTCGCAAGCAGCGGCACAAGCCTAATTAAGGAAGACGTTTACACCGGTAAGTTCTATTATCCAAAAGTAAGCACTTAAAGTACGCAATTTTGGCGACAAACAATGCAATGAATAATTAGGCGTAGCTCCTTCTCGTCTATTCGAATTCGTTTTTCTCGCCAATTGGCGTTTGAAGTAAATAATACAAAAAAATATATGAGTAGTGTGTCTATGGGATTGAATCTCAGTAGTTCCAAAATCCGCCACCAGAGGCGCTGGCGTCGCGCGCCATTGATGGGTTGTTGGACGGAATCTGTATGCGAAATTCATGAGTTGGGGATTCCGCCGCTAGATGGCGCTGTCAAACCAAACGGAATCTGTGTGTCATTGGACACCTGTCATGCGTCATTGGGCATCTCACGCATAGATGGCGTTACACGTCATCTGTCATACGTCATTGGACACCTGTCATTGATGGGTTGGGCATCTCGCGCATAGATGGCGCCGATTTGTTTGGCGCTGTACAAACCAAACGGAATCTATGTGTCATTGGACACCTGTCATTGATGGGTTGGGCATCTCGCGCATAGATGGCCAGATGTCGCACCTGTCTGGTGTTGGCGTGGATTACGGGGGGCATTTAGAACCTGTATACAGGGGTGCATCGAAAAATAGCGGATCGATGGACCGACGGTATATCGTTAAATCGTATATAGCAAGGCGTGACCTAAATAGCGTGGTGGGCTCCTCTGGTCGGTCGGTCGGTCAGAATGTCTCATAACCTGTATACGATGTACTGTTATTATTATACAGGATGATACCGTTCAAAATGAAAATAGTATAATGGATTTTTATTGAAACATAGTATATATAACAATAAGGTTGATTGGTGTGTGTGTGTGCCATGTTTTGAATACCCGCTTGAACAACTTGAAACAAGAAATTCGACAATATTATTTCGCAAACCAGAGGTATTTCCAATAAAACTACAATAATACGTTTAATATTTTATTGAAAATAGAAAAAACTACATAGGTAATATGATATTTGAAAACCAGTGGCGTAGACGTTCAACATTTCTCTGGGTACAGGAAAATTGTCCGTTGGTGTGGCATGGATTGGAATCAGCAACAAAGTTTCCAGTAGCACACGGTGTACCATCATACTTGCAAACATCAATAATGTTGGGAAAAACACCAAAAATGTGACATTTCTTGAGTAAAAAGTTTGCTTTCTGTTCTCCACGAACGTAGACATAGTCAGCCGCATATATCACCTTATTTTTAATTATTTCATTTAACTTGGAATATTTAACGTCGCCGGAAGAATATTTAAGCCCATGGAAATTCTTCTCCAAGTAAGCGACAGTTTTCTTGTCTTTAGTATTTAATGTAGAAAAAGGTTGCGGAGGTGTAAAGATGTAATGACTTTCTTGAAACCAATTTCGATACATAGTTCTTTAGGTACGAATAATCCGTCAACTGTAAAGCCTTGAATGTCAACAAACGCGATCCTCATGATGTCTGATGCGGAACTGAGAGTCCTTCGTTGCTTACGAGATGGTTTTAATAACTTCGGTGAGGGGGAAGTACTCGATTAAGCAGTCATGTATAATGATGCAGTAGGCCTTGGTGTTGGTTGGAAAGCCAGTATCGGCTTCGATATCCAATCTAACATCAACAGTTGATGATTTCATGGTTTCCTCTTGTTTGGAACAGTCAATAACAAACAAAGCGCGATTTTTAAAAGCGGTATAATCTAAAAGACATCTCTTCAGAGGAGAAGAAGAAGTTGTATAGCTGGTTTGAAAGTCGCTATAGTTGAAATGAGCTTCAGTAAAGTGATTGTTTGCAAAGTCCAATTGCATACGTTCGTTGGGATAGTATTCACCATTTAAAGATACTCGAATACTAGCAGCATTCACGTGATCAAACAGGGTAGGGTCTGAGGTTGCGACGTCACGTTTACCGGTTTGGAAACATACTATAATGAAACGTGGTCTTTCGATTGCGGTGCTAGTTTTAACTGACCATATTTCTCTTCTCGCATCTGCGGTAATTGCAGGCAGTTCATTCAGATCCCATTTTCTAAACGGTATAAGTATCGGCTTATCAGTTTGAATAGCTTTCAAAAGTTGTTCT